TTTACTAGGTTTTTCCAAAAGCACGTATCACCCAAACTTCACGATGCATCCGCAGCTTTGCAAAGGCTCTTCCGAGATCGCATCCCCCATTTTCAGAAAGCTCCCGACATGCCTCATCACACAAATCATAACAATTCTATGCTAGAATGTTGCTGCGTAACCTTGTGTGCCTTGTTTAGCGTACCAGTGATCGTTGGTGTTGTGGCAGTGGCGGCCGTTGTCGGCATTATTGCCTTTATAGTTTTTATCCTTATCAAGCCATTCTGAGGCAACCAGGAAGAAAAGGCAACAAGGATGTTACAAGTAACCTTGAAACTGTCCAAAAATGCAATTTGGAATATGTTCCGTGTAATGCATGCCTTCTACTGCAAATTTCGGCAATGGAGACCTTCGCCGGTGGATGGAGGTTGTTTAGCAATAGATTAAGTTTATGATGAATTTCTTTTGCTTTATCTCAACCGTTTTGTTTGGCTAATGGGTATGAATGCTATGTGGGCGACGAAATTTACCCCATAGTAAAATTTTGTAATAATTTGCGGTCACAAGCGCATCTCACGATGTTGAGACTGGGATATTTTTCATTTGCTTGATGAAATAAACTTTTCTTTATCTAAAAATTAGTGACCCCTGACTGTTTCACTCCTGACAGTTTGTCCAATAATTAAAGTTTTCTCTGGATTTTATGAAATTCAAGGGCTACATTATTTATTTCATGACTTCCTGCATTATATTCTCGATGAATTTTTTTAGTAACCTGAATACCTCGCCGTCTTTATTGCCCACCGATGTCCTGAAATCAACCTAGGCCGGAAAATTAAAAACTAGGTTGGCACATCCATATCTCTGTACCTTATTATTGGCATCTCCAATGCAAGTACATTGGTTTTTCTCTTTTACGCTCACGATGTCGCTTGATCTTGATGTGTCACGATTGTATCAAGATGCTTAGGACTTTGCTGGCCACAAAGGCCACATCTTTTGCGAAGTGTTTGATGGCCATGACCCTCTTGGCTGGGAAGTCGCTCGCCATGTCCGCGACACCCTTACCGTGAAACTAGCCTCTGTTTTGAGACCAAAACCTGTGGATGAAGATTCTTCAAGCGATAATTTGAAGCTTAAACCTAAAGAAGATTCCTCAAGCAATAATTTGAAGCTCACAACCGAAGAAGATGACTCAAGCAATAATTCGAAGCTCAAACCAGAAGAAGATGATTCAAGCAATAGTTTGAAGCTCAGAACTGAAGAAGACACCTCAAGCAATACAGATCTGGATTCCTTTGACAAGTCAGATAGCAGCTCGTTCATTGATTATACGAGCGATGAGAGCTAGCTGTTGTCCACTTGCGGCGGCGGGTTGGGCGAGCGGCAGGTGGCGGCGGCGTGCGGCATGGGTGGGGGCGACGGCGCTAGGGGAACGAGAGAGCGAGGGAACTGCCATGGCTCCTCCTGGCCTCGCGCGCGCCCAGCGGCCCTCGCTGTCGCCGGGTTGCGGGCTCCTGCCGGCCCGCTTGGCCAGCTCTGAGGGGGGTTCCTTAGGACCATGACACTCTTGAACATGATGGAATACAGGATATTCTTGCCCATGTTATCAACCATAACACATAGGATGAACAGATTGAAAAGATGTTAACCACCCTCTGGTACATTTGGAAAGCCAAGAACGACCATTGCTTCCAAAGGAAAACTTGGACTGTTTGGCAGGTACATAACGCGGTGGCTGCGAACATCAACAACACCTCGCTCTCCAATGGCCGAAATGAAGAACAGGTGCATGAGAATGAAGAACAAAATGATGATTCGTCCATGCCAGGTAACAGTCTCCCCATTGCAGGACCACCAAGTGAAGCCACTGGCCACAATGCTGCTGAAGGTCACCCTCTGTTGTGTTCGGCAATGCTTGGCCCGCCTCTGTACAGAGCGCTGTTGCCTGGCACAAGATGCTACACAGACGCATCAACATAACCGGATCGGCCCCAACAGGTCCCCCAGCGTGCAGGTCAACCCCCGTCACCGTTCTGCGATCTACATCAAAGCATCCATGGCGAACACCACCTCTGTTCTAGTGGCTGAAGCAGCGGCCATGGCGTTAGCGGCTTCCGTGGTCTCTGGGATGGACATACAAAACTCTGTCTTCCTGACTGATAACCAGCAGCTAGTGACGTTCTTTAATGGAGAAGCAGTCAAGACCGACCTCAGCCTCCTCCGCCGGCCCAGCGGCCGCGCCGTCGCCGTCGGCATCATGGGCGCCGTCGTGCCGCTCGCCGTCACCCTGCCCGTCTTCCACGCGCTCCAGCCCACGCTGACAGAGGACCTGCGGGGCTCCTCGCTCGTCACCGAGCTCGCCGTCCGCCTCTCCCTCTCCTCCTTCCCCGTCATCGCCGACGCGCTCTCCGACCTCGACCTCCTCAACACCGACCTCCGCCGCATCGCGCTCACGGCGTCGCTCATCACCGACGTCACCTCCTGGTTCATCCGCGCCTGCACCGCGGCGGTCATCCTCATCGGCGATGCCAGGTCGCCGGCCTTCACGGCCAAGATCCTCGCCTCCTTCGTCACGTTCGTGCTCTTCGTCGGCTTCGTGGCACGCCCCGACGGCCGGTACATCGCGTACAAGCGCACCCCGACGGGGGCGCTCCTCTCCGAGGGCTCCTTCGTGGTGGTGGTCATCGCCGCGCTGCTGTCGGCGCTGGTGACGGACGCCATCGGGTTCAAGTACATGATCGGGCCCATGATGCTGGGGCTGGCGCTCCCCGGCGGCATGCCCATCGGCGCCACCATGACGGAGCGCCTCGACTCCTTCTTCATCGCGCTCTTCCTGCCCGTCTACATGGCGCTCTCCGGCTACCGCACCGACCTCGCCGAGTTCACCAAGTCCGAGGCGTCGGAGAAGTGGTGCGCGCTGGAGTTGTTCGTGGCGCTCTGCGTGTCGGGCAAGCTCGTCGGCTGCGTCGCCGCGGGGCTCTTCTTCACCATGCCGTTCCGGGACGCCATCGTGCTGGCGCTCATGCTCAACATCCGGGGCATCGTGGAGGTGGCCGCCATCAACAACTGGGGCGACACCATGAAGGCCACGGCGGAGCACTACTCGACGCTGACCATGTCCATGGTGCTCATCACCGCCGTGTCCACGCCGCTGATCAAGCTGCTGTACGACCTGTCGGGGCAGTTCGCGCGGGCGAAGCGGCGATCGCTGGAGCACGCGCGGCTGAGCGCCGACCTCCGCGTTCTCACCTGCCTCTACAGCGAGGACCACGCGGCGCCGCTGATCGACCTGCTGGAGGCGTCGGGTTTGTCCCGCGACTCGCCCATGCCGCTCATCGTGCTCCACCTCACGGAGCTCGTCGGCCGCGCCGCGTCCGTGCTGAAGCCCCACCGGAATAGCACGAGGTCGTCCAACAGCGGCGGCAACCCGACACCGTCGGACCGCATCGTGAACGCGTTCCGATACTTCGAGCAGCAGGCGGCGCCGGGGGCGGTGACGGTGAGCCCGTACGTGGCGCAGGCGCCCTTCAGCTTGATGCACCACGACGTGTGCTAGCTGGCGCACAGCCGGAAGGCCAACCTCATCCTGCTCCCCTTCCACAAGTCCTCCGACGGCGCGCGCACCACGGCTAACAACGCCATCCGCTCCATCAACCGGAGCGTGCTGCAGTACGCGCCCTGCTCCGTCGCCATCCTCGTGGACCACGGCCTCGCGTCAGGGTCGGCGTGCGCCACCACCGCCAACAGCCTGCTCCAGCGGGCGGCGCTCTACTTCCTGGGCGGCGCCGACTACCGCGAGGCGCTGGCGTACGCGGCGCGGATGCCCGAGGCCGGGACCATGTCGCTGACGGTGGTGCGGTTCAAGCTCCGGAGCTGGGTCGGGATGGGCGGGCAAGACGAGGCGCGGGCGAGGAGCTGCTGCAGGAGTTCTGGGCCAGGCACAGGGACAACGAGCGCGTGGTGTACGTGGAGGGCACCGCGTCGGTGGTGCGCGCCATGAGCGAGAAGTTCGACCTGCTCATCGTGGGGCGCCGCGGCGGGGAGAGCGAAGGCGACCCGGAGGGGTCGACGGCGCTCACCAGCGGGCTGTCGGAGTGGAGCGAGTTCCCGGAGCTGGGCGTGCTGGGGGACATGCTCGCCTCCGCGGAGTTCGCGTCCAAGGTCTCCATCCTCGTCATCCAGCAGCAGCCGCCCAAGAAAACCGTCGCCGCCGGAAGCTCCGTCAATGATTAGAAGGATCCATCCATGGCTGATTTTTTGTTAATTTAATTTTGTCAAGCATTCTCTTGTAATTAGGTCGTCAGCTAGGAGGGATTAGTTTCCTGATGCTTTTAAGGCAAAACAAAGCACAACGAAGAACACGTTAGCGCGCGGCACTCGTCGAACAACTCTGCTTGGCGCCAACAAGTTGCACACTTCTTTGTTTTGTTTGTCACTCCCAGTGTGGCTTGCTTGATTGACTGTGCTGCGGCTAAACTTTCTTTCCACTTGAGATTCACGCCATGTTGGCTCGGTACCAAACACGTTTTAGCCGTCTAAATACAAAAGTGTAGAATGCTACTAATTTGAACATCTACTGGTTGGATAAAAATAATAATGTTAAATTTATCTAAGCAGGGCACTTTATGTTATCACAAGTATATATAAATTCATGTATGATCGTTGTGGTAAATTCCTCGTTTACCTTAATCATCAGTACTTAATTTTTTATACACATATTCAAACACACAAATTTGTGCTCTTAGATTTATTGTATAATGTTTCTTATTAAGGCTATGGAATATCATGTCGATGGAGCGCTATCCGCATTGAGAGTAACTCCAGCAAGAATGCTCAAATCACGGCCTCTATTTTTTTATTTTAGGACTCCTCCTATTTTTAAGGGTCTAATTATTTTTCATCTACTCCAGCGTTAGCAACCCTCAAATGTATTCCGGTAGACAATGACACACTGGACCCAGGCCACTTGTCATTCTCTTCCAACAACCCATATTCACAGTCGCCCAATCTCGTGAGCTATGGCCGGTCGTCGGAGAAGGAACAGGGAGGGGAGCTGCGCCAGTGTGGAGGGTCTCATGGAGAAGGGGTTTGCCAGGGATGAGGGCTTCACCGAGGATGGGTTTATCGAGAGAAGAGAGGTTGGGGAGAGAGGAGCCATTGCCGACCCAAGGGGCAGTGTCAGGGGAGCCACGCTAGAGGCCGCCGTGAGGAGGGGGGAGGGAGGTCGCTAGGGAAGGGAGCCACGCTAGGGGTGACATAGGAGACAACACGAGTTGGATGCGGAGGTGCGGAACACGATTTCCCACGCGTGCACACTAGTAGGAACCATGTTAGAGCTGTGTTTATTTATATAAACTCTCAAATTTTATTTTAAGGGCCTTGCCTCCATCCTCGCATCACCGACCCAAGTCGGCCTCCGCCAACTATCGGTGTTGGCACAACCAGATGTCTCACTAATGCCTGCCACTATCGTCCCTGACCCATTTCTAAATCCTACAATCAAACACGAGGAAGATGAACATGCATCATGTTCCCACCTTGCAGTGACTATTGCAGTTGCATATACCACGTAAAGCATTTTTTTCTTATTTAGGGCATGGGCATCCAAATTGTTTCTCTGGATACAAGTATATACAACATAATAACGGAGTGTTTCCTGAAAAAAGCACACAAGACTGAATGGTCGTCTCAAGTCAATCCGGTCACTCTCCTAGATGATGGTCTACGGCCTAGTCTTGTTTCTTTTTCTTGTCCACTTGTAGTCTTGTACTATGCCGGTCCCACCGGCCACCACACCAACTTCCTCTTCACCTTCCCTCGCCTCAGCCAGCTTTAACTTTAGAAGTGAAGTGGACGAAGCAGCAGCAGCAGCAGCAGCTTTGCAGAGAGTGACCACGAAGAAGAGGATCGGAGAGAGGTTGAAGAAGGCAGGGATCCATGGGAAACATCCTCAGGTGCTTAACGGGGGGAGACAACCATGGTGATGATCACTATCGTCCCCACTATCATCCAACCTCCGAGCCCGGCATCATACTACAGGGCGGCTGGTGCTCTCCGCCTCGTTTCCAGCCTGATCATCACCAGCTAGGTCCCCATGGCGGCGTCGCCTCCTTGGTTCAGGACCTCCTCAACTTCGAATCCACATCCATGGTAAACTGCTATCCTCTCCCTTCCGTCGCTGATTCCCTTGTGTCTGCTTGTTTGTCTTCATTTTGCCATCTATTCAGTTACTGTAAGTCCTTGACAGTAATTTCTTTTGTAGAAAGTCCCTGACAACCTATGAATAATTGCACAAGCAAAATTCACATTTATCCATTAAAAGTTCAGCTTCTGAAGATCTAAGGTTAATTAACTAGTATATCCGTGAGAGTAAGTATAGCAATGCAATCTCTATCAGCGCGCATGCATAATCATCTTCTGACAAGTTGAGCATGCGTTATATTTCGCCAAATGAAACAAAAGGAGATAAAGCTCTGTACTATAAGCAATTAAATTATGCCTTGATGAAATATGCTTGTGCTCTATAAAGCCTCTCCTGGACAAATATGTTTTTTACTGAGTTCACTAGTTCAAGATTTATCTTCACTTGCATCGCTGTATTCAGCTTCATTCGCATGATGCGGGGGGTTTTTTTTTTTGGTAGGAACAAATTAATTGCTAATCAACTTACCTCCAACGACCCATTTGATCTCTGATTCTTTTAGCACTTGGATGGACATGTACATTAGCAATGCTGAACTGCAGCAGTAAAGCGACATTGCAACTACTAGCATATTTTATGAAAACACTTGCAGATATTAATAAGATTGTGATGATTTATCATGTCAGTTTCACAGCCTTCTTTTCCCAAAATTCCGCGACATGTTTTGCAGTGATGAGATACAATAAATAAATTTTATTTGTCACACTTTCAGGTACCTGAAGCGCTCAGAAATAATGTTACATCGTCCAAGAAAGCCCAGGTTAAATGGTAGGGAGCACTTTCAAAAAACTTGTACACTTGATGATTTTTTTTTAATAATCAGTACATTTGGTGTACCTAATGATGTCAATGTTGCTTTAATTCCTCCCCTAGTTCAATAGAGTCAAGGACTAAAGGCATATGACAGTAGGACTGTAGGAGTAGTACAAAAGGAAAAGGGGCCCTCAATGAAATGTTGTTTGTCCATACTTATCCAAACATAGAACAAGCCATGCTTCGACATGGAGAAGTAAAATAAGCATAACAAACACATTGAAGAACTTGAATGTCTTTTAGACAAACAAAACTTATGACTATTTTGATCTTCTAATTTACACAATGCTAGGTACCGGAATATTTTGGAGGCATATAAGAACTCCAGTCCCCCACCAAAAACACCAGCTGAGGCCGCCCGACTAGTTGCAGCAGCTCTAAGCAGGATTCAGAGAGCTGATTTGGAGGTAACCTTATTTTTCCTCCCTTTTTACTTAAATAATTGTAGGGACCGTACAAGACGAATGTATAGATTAGCAATGATATATATTTAAAATGCTTGAACATGTAAACTAACAAACCTATTTTATAAACTAGAGTAGTATGGATGCAAGCGGGTTTGTCTGCGCATCCTAGTCCTCAGTTCATTCGTACAAGGCGTAGTTTAACTGTTTGAGTTAACCTTTGACCAATAATTAGTCCAGTAGTATATGAGTTATATACCATAAAATCAGTACAATTGGATTCTCATTTACAAGCACTTGCTAATGATTATTATTTATAACTACTAATAAAATATGACAAGAAAATTACAGCCAAAGATTGATTTTGCGTAGTGAAACTATACCTTAAAAGAATGGAGTAACATTGGACAAAGATTAGAAACCCTAGGAAATTTACTACAATTTGCATTACACTATTAGTATTACTAATGGTTATGTTCAACTCATCCTATCCAAAAACAATGTTTTCTTCTCAGGGTATTCTTGCATTTTACAACCTCCCGATCCCATCATTCTCTTCAGCATCAACATCCTCGGACCACCAACCATCCTCACTACCAGAGGGCATACAGTTTGTGCTGAACACTTTGCCGGTCAGATATGATAAACCATTGCAAACAAAACCCTTAACCAACGATGTCACATTTTGAACAATGTGTTACCTCAACTACTATTAGGTTCACAACAAGTGCATTGGAGATGGCGACGGATTTACTGCCTATGTTGACACAACAGACCCGAGGGAGTCTGCGAATGTGCCACTAGAAGTCCATGAGATGGTGATTGAAAGGACTCAAGCACGCATTGATAGGGATTACCAAACGGCCGATGCACTTCTTAGGAGCCTCAACGAAGCAGGATATAAGTACTCAAACGGAACCTTCACAGTCCTTTACATGTCATAAATGCATATATTATTTGAAATATATTTATGATTTAAAGTTTAGATATACTCAATTACTTGGATAATAAACTAGATCTCATTAGTTGAAAATTTGGAAATGTTGTGATGTTTTAGCAATGCAGGAGTTTGTTAAGTAATCGGGAAAATATCATTAACATATCTCATGGGAAAACAAATTTTGATATAATTGCTTTTTATGGTATCACCAAAAGCAAAACTTACTAAGACTTTTGATGAGTAGGATAATAACCATTTTAGGAGAAGAGATACTTGCAAAGAAATACAGAATCAGAATGAGGTGAGTGTTTCTCCAAATTGAACTTGTGCATTCAATAATAACTAGGAATATTGTCCTCAAGTGCATGTTCTTCATGACTTGAAGGGGCATCGATGCACCAGAGCTTAAAATGGCTAATGGGAAGGAATCGAGGAATGCATTGGTGAAGCTAATTGGAGGGAAAAGGGTCACAATTTACGTGTATGGACAGGACCAGTTTGGGCGTTATGTGGGTGACATATATTGTGATAATGTGTTCATCCAGGTGAAAAAATAAACTATGTTCACACAACCTATTGTTTTATGGCTTCAATTATGACATGATCAATGTGTCTCTGGACTCTCGAGTCTTTCAGGAGCAAATGCTAAAGAGTGGTCATGTATGGCATTTCAAGACTTACGATAAGCGCCCAGAGTTTTGCATGGTAAGAAATTCCATTGTACCTAAAGTGCATTTATGAAACATCCCAAATTGCAATCTCAGAAAGCCTAGAGTATTCTTTTTGATGTGAACATCCTTGAGCTATGTCATTTGTCATTTAATTTTAAGGGCACATGTGTTGATCTGAACTATAGCTATTTGCAGTAATCCAAATTTGCTGCTCCTAGAAGTTTTTCACTAGCACTATGATATTTTGCAGTGGGAGACAGAGGCAAGAGCTGCACATCGAGGGCTTTTTGCATCAGAGAACCCTGAGAAGCCATGGGACTGGAGAAAAGACCAGCGCAATGCGAACATTCCAGTCTACTGATCGAACTGAACCGTGAGTTTACAACTTTGTACAGTTGCTACACATGAATGCGTATCAAAAAACCAAAAGCAAGAGTGATGTATTGTACATGTATGTGGAAGATAAAGTATTGTGAATTAGTATCATGCGTTCAATATTGGAGCTCTTGTGTTCTTATCTCTGTTTTGAACATTACTAAAAAAATAATTTTAGGAGACATGTCCCCTGATTAATAGAGGCATGCATTTTTGGGAGCAACCTCTATAAATGGTCAGGCGCGGATCTCAGGAAAATGTATGCCTCTTTTAATCATTTACACAACTGAAGCATATGCAATAGAGAGCTAGAGGGTATATGATTCATTGTCAAAGACCTTTACGAGGTACGGGTCTGCACACCACTCCTCAAATGCATCGCTCATCAAGAAGGTATTTATCTACCAGATCCATAGTGGAGCGTGTGGATCTCATAGTTGTCCTAGAGCACTAGTCAGGAAGGCAAGAATTTTATTGGCCAACAACCATAGCAGATGTTATGCAAATTGTTCAAACATGTGAAGGTTGCCAGATGATAGCAGATGCAACTTCAAGCCCTAGAGCATCATACAATGTTGATTTGTCACACATGCCCTTGAAATGATGGGGCATGGTGTTGGACCCCTCCAAACAGTGGTCGGAAACCTTCGCTCTGTAGTGGTAGCGGTAGAATATTTCACCAAATGGATTGATGCCAAAGCATTGTGAACTATCACCTCGATATCAATTAAAATAGTTCTCGCAACAAGTTATATGCCATTCAGTTCCCTAAAGCACTAAAGGTTGACAATGGTACTCAATTTGACACTGGAGTCTTCATAGATATTTCTAAACAACTAGGGGGTCAGCCTATACTTCGCAATTGTTAGACACCCACAGAGTGTTGAAATATAAGTGAATCGTCCACTCTTTTCGATTAGATTGAATTTTTTTGGATTGTGCTGGCCCTCAATGAATTGAGAATGTAATGGCCATGAAATTTTAAAAAAAATGAAAAGTAGCAAAAGTGATTTTTTTTATTTACATGGGCCTCCCCTGTCGACTACATGAGCCTCAAGTACCCTCATCACGGCCTAAACTGACACCCCCAGTAGGTGTGGACTGGGTCAACCGATCAACGGAGGAAACGGCCTGGGGTGCCTCATTTTACTTAGCGAACAAGGCATGCAAGATGTAGATAAAAACAATGCATGCATGTAATCTTATCTGACTAAATTTCCTTGTCATCGACATCTGTATCCGATCATGGAAACTAATTTGTAACCCTATGCTCCCGAACTATATAAAGAGGGGTAGAGAGTGTGGTAACATGAACACACAACACCAATGCCCCTGCAAACCCATGCACGCAACACGCAAGCAATTTAATAAAGCTTTCATCATAGACTAGATGTAGGGTACTCTGTATCTAAACCAGTATACACTCGTGTGTTGTGTGAAACCCATCTGACCTATGGTGTGTGATTCATTGGATTAATCGTCAGAGGTAAAAAACACTGACACCCCTAAGTCCCTAAAGCTCTTTTGCTCATTGCCATGCATATAAAATAGATAGTTCTCCATAATTACACATAGGCACCCACAGTTTGTGTGAAATAACTAGTATGGTTCGAAAAGGAACAAACTGAATAGAGCGGTATGATGTTTCCTTTTTTGGTGCTAACAACTGCCCTAATTTTTGGGATGTTATGCAAATAAAATGAATAGAGAAGAAACCATCCATTTGCATTACCTAAGTGTTTTCTTGAACAAAAAGGTGGATTTGGGAGAGAAACAATATTTCTTAAGAGCACGCCACTACCAAGGAGTGATGCATACAATACTATTACCCTAGTTTCAATTCAACACATATTGCTCTTACTTACATAACTTTATTTATTGCTACGATGAGTACTAGTCATAGGCATGCTGGTGTAGGTAACAACACCAAGCGTATCTATAGGACATGATTGCTATGTTAATCTGATAACCTCTAAGCAGTGCCTTCTGCAAGCAAAGTATATGGAACCATTACATCAGACATAGTTGAAGATACCAGAAATTGCTTGTATACGAAGATACTAAAAGTTGGACATCAAGCTACTCAGATTTCCAGGACGACAGTGGAGGAGTCTCAGAATACTTCCAGGTGTTGCCCATCTGAAGATATCGGTCTCCCTGGACATTACTAGCAGCAGCATATGACTCGAGTTCGTTCTTTTCCTCTGGTGTGAGCTTCACAGATAATGCTCCAATATTCCGGTTGAAATTTTCAACTTTTGTTGTGCCAGGTATGGGACAAACATCGCAGCCTTGATGGCAAACCCAAGCTAATGCAAGTTGTGATGGCGTACATCCTTTTCTTGTCGCCATTGAATTAACTCGCTCAAATATTTGGGCATTCTTGTCAAGATTCTCCGGTTGAATTCTCAGGAAAATCTACACAACAATAAAATTCTCAATGAAAAGATGCAACTAATCATGCATATTACTATTACTAATTAGAGACCTCCAACAGATAATTCAACAGGAAGATTTGGCAAACACTACATTAGACTCGATAATAAGAGCAATAAGATCTACTTTGTTTCCTAAACAAAATTACCATTGAAAGCATCTAGGCCCCTAGTTGGGTTTCGGTGATTAATGACAATACGTAATTACTATGACTAACGTGTGTTTTGTAGAGGCAATTAAGTTAGGTCATGGTAATGGAGATCGATTGGGCAATCATGGTGGTCATGCCCCTGCGATGGAAATCGTTTCGGTTTTCAAAGGATGGATGACAAGGTTAAGGATAGACTAGTTCTAAGTGTTGTTTGGAGTTGAAGAGACATTTAGAGTAGTTTAGGACTTTGTTTTTCCTTTGGCCGTACTATTAAGGGGGGTATGGACGGGTAGCTTGACCTAGGTGAGTCTAGTGAGTTAGGTGTGGTGCACACTTGTTAAACTAGCACTAGGTAGCTCCAAAATAGCCCTTAGATCCAATGGAGCAAACTTCATTCACGTATGATCGAGAGTTGAAAGTGAATGGAGGGTCAAATACTGACCGGACGCTGGTTCCAGATTGACCGGACGCTGGCGCAGAGTCCGGTCAATTCATTTGACCAAGGTGAAATCGTCTGGCGCAACCGGACGCTGAGAGGTGTAGTGACCGGACGCTGAGAGCCTGCGTCCGGTCGACTCCAGTAAGGTTCCAGAGAGGGAAAATCACGATCGGACGCGTCCGGTTAGTGCTGACCGGACGCTGACCAGCGTCCGGTCACACTTTAAACACTGGAGTTCAGGGAGAACTGACCGGAGCGTCCGGTCAACATGACCGGAGCGTCCGATCACCCCGCAGAGGCACATAACGGTTCGTTTTTCAGCCGGTGTTATAAATACAACCTCCACTCGTGTGTGGGGGTACTTTTGTTCATTCCAATAGCTGAGAAACACCTTAGAGAGTGCCAAGAAGAGCAAGGTCCTAGTGAGGTGATTGAGATTTGAGAATCCCAAAGAGAGCCCTCATTAGTGAGATCAAGAGTAGCAAAGTGTACATCCACCCTTCTCATTAGGCTTGTCGTGGTCAAGTGAGAGTCCGTGCTTGTTACTCTTGGTGATTGCCATCACCTAGACGGTTTGGTGGTGATTGGGAGCTTGGTGATCATTCGGAGAGCTTGTGGATGACCCAACTCAAGTTGTGAGCGGTTGTGGGTGATTCACCACGACGGAGTGTCGAAGAATCAACCCATAGAGAGCACTTGATCCTTGCGTGGATTAAGGGGGAGCTACACCCTTGCGCGGGTGCTCCAATGAGGACTAGTGAGGGAACAAAGAGTGAGCGTGAGGAACGCTATCATCTTGTCATGAAAAAGCTTAACTCTTTTGAAATGCTTCCTAAAGAATATGCTAATGAAATGTATTCATGTTTGAATGTTTTTATAGAGGAAGTCAATGGGCTTGGACTTACTCAAATGCAACCATCCAATGTTGTAAGAAAGATCTTGAGCATCCTCCCCATTGACAAATATGGGCATATTGTGACCGTGCTTCATCAAGGTGATCTTTCCACCGCTACACCGACACAAATCTTAGGAAAGATCAATGCTCATGAGATGTATATGCACATCACGCCACAAGATGGCTCATCCTCTACCAAGAAGAAAGATAAGGACTTAGCATTCAAAGCTAGCCAAGAGAAGGGTAAAGCAAGACTTGAGTATGAGAGCTCAAGTGATGATGAAGTTGATGATGCAAGTCTTGCTCTCATGGTGAAGAAAACCACCAAGATGCTAAAGAAGCTCAACAAGAGTGGCATCAAGTTCGATGGCAAGAAGAAGTTCTTCACAAGCTCTAGAAGGAAGCCAATCTCCGAGATGGATTGCTACAATTATGGAGAACTTGGTCATCTAGCACACCAATGCACCAAGCCCAAGAAAGACAAGTTCAAGAACAAATACAAGAGCAAGAAAGGTGACTCAAGCAATGAAGATGAAGATGAGAAGAAAAAGAACAAGCCATACAAGAAGAGAGATGGCAAGAAGAAGGACTTCCACAAGAAGAAGAAGAGTGGAAAGGCTTACATCATCGGTGATTGGCTCACGGACATTGACTCATCAAGTTGCTCATCCGATGATGATAGTGATAATGAGAAGGTCGCCGCCATTGTTATTGACTCATCACCTTCACCGCCACCACCGCTATCATCCTCTACACACCTATGCCTTATGGCCAAGGGTGAACGCAAGGTATCAAATGATGATGATAGTAGTGGTGATGAACATGCTAGTAATGATGATAGCGATAGTGATGATGATGAATATGAATCACCTACTTATGATGATCTTGCTAGATTGCTAAAACAATACACTAAGATCATTATAAAGACTAGAGCTAAGAATGAAAAGCTAGAGGCTAAAAATGATGCACTTTTAGCAAAATGTGATATAGCGGAAAAGGTTAATGTTGAGCTTAGAGAAGCAAATGATGCGATGTCATCCAAACTTAAGGAGCTCAAATCTTCTA